GAAGAGGAAGACGAAGATGAGGAAGAGGTAGTAGGAGCTCTCCGTCGCCGAGAACCCCGTGTTGGTGCCGAAGTGGAGGTCGCGCTCGGGGAAGAAAGGTGCACCGGCTCGATGTCAGCAATGTTGAAGTCCCCGATGGCGATGAAAATACGGTGTCGTTCGTCACTTTGCGCCCATGCAGCTCCGTCGAGCCAGCAATGGCGCACCAGAGGAAGTTTGGCTGCAGGCAGCTCATGGTTGTGGATGTTCATGATCTTGATGTGCTCGTTGTTAGTCAGATTGCTGATGGTGAGGACTGCGACGCGACCATCGATCACGGAGTCCAGGGAGAGGGAAGGGAGCATCTGAGGGTCCAGCGTCGCGAGCTCCGCCTCAGAGAACCATGGAACCAGGAAGGCAACGCCGCCAGCCCCAGGGGAGGCACCCGCGGACATGACGGCACGGTAATGGTAGGGCGTCTGGTTCAGCAGCGTCTGCAGCCTGATCTCGGACCCGTGCGCCTCCTGGACGACAATCAGCATGCGCATCTGAAGAAGCTTGCAGAGCCGTTGCATCTTGTTGTTGCGTCGATGAGCACGCTGGCAGAGATGCCCTTGGGCGTTCCATGATGCAATACGGAGCGCCTGAGTGGTGCTGGGGCCCTGGCCCTGGGGAGCAGCCAACTCCCAGGGCGTCCAGCGTGGGCTAGGAACAAGACCAAGTGGAGGTGTCGACCTCCGTGTTGAAGGTGGTGGCCTCGCAGAATTGGTCGATGATCTTCTGCCGCTCGTCGTCGCTGATGTAGCGTGTGGTCTCGGGGTGCCAATATATGCGCGAGGGCTCGTGGAAGCCCTGTGGGACGACCTCAATGATGGGCACTGCGTTGACGCTGATGATACCCTTCGGGCGGATGGCGGTCCAGTCGCGGTGGTTCGAAGCGAAGGACTGCTGCAACAAGGAGAGGAGCCTCTTGGTGTGCATCTCTCGGCGGATCTGGCGAGGGGCTTTGTCGGCACCCACGTGGAGTGGCACCAGTCGCCCGTCAGGTGTCTTGACTTGGAAGGATCTCCAGGAGCCTCCAGGGAGTCGCAGCGCGCGTGCCAGTGCAAGGGCGCGGGCACCACCAACTCCAGCATCTCCCCGAACTCGCAGGAAGAAACGCTTGGAGGGGACCTCCGCGCCGCCGACCAGCTCCAAATATTCGGGCGCCACTGTGGAGGCGCCAAACCATTCTGAAAGGCTAGCCAAGACCGCATTCTTGGCCACCATTGAGCTGCAGTTGGCGGAGAATAGAAGTGGGTCAGCCTCACGGTCATACTCGGCCAGCTTGGCCAGGTCGGTCGCTGGGAGGGCCTTCTCCGCCATGGCGAGCTGTTCACGGATCTCGCCAATCTGCTTGCGGAGGACGACGTTGCTCTGCTCCAAATCAGACTGGCGACGCTTGAGCTGGTGGATCTCATTCGACTGGTGGGCCACATTCTTGAGCACGGGGTCGATATAGCCAGCCATGGCGCCCACCAATTCCTTGTGGGCGGTGGCCAGAGACTGCGTGCAGATGCTGTTGAGCTGGGTGACCGTGGAGTCCATGCGGGCCTGGACCAGCTCCAAGAGACTGTCCTGGATAGAGCTTGGCGACCCGCTTGCTCCAGCAGCAGGCGCACAGGGCGTGTCGGTCCCGCCGACTGGTGTGGCCGTGTCCTCCTGCGTCTCCAGCACCTGGAAGTCGCGCTCGATGTCACGCAGCTCTTGGGTGGAGAACTGTGGCCCCGTTGCCGCTGCACCCCGCCAGGGATCGCATGTCTGGAGGGCATCTGGGGCAGGGGGGGCCACAGCCGCCGCGCCGGCTGGCGCCGAGGCGCTAGAGCTGCTGCTCGCTCCAGCCCACTGCGGCGGGGCTGCCAGGCTGCCAGGTCCGTCGCCGCGTCGCAGGCGATCACGTTCACTACGTTCACGATGGGCGGGGGCGCGCGTGGATGGCGGAGCAGGGCGGTCGGCAGGGCCTCTGCCAATGTCAGCCCAGGCCTTGCGTCGAGCGCGACGGCGCGGGCGGTCCTCGCCCCCGCTGCGGCTGTGCTCGTCACGGCCCCCACGATCATCAGAAGAGCTGCCAGAGCCATCCGAGGCCATGCGAAAAAACAAAGTCGTGACTGAGGAGAAAGATTCGTGTTGGCGATGGTGTGGGGCACTCGCCCAGAAGGGGGAGCTCCAGCAGCCTGTGGTGTCGGGCCGCTGCTGGGAGCCCCCCGAAGCTGACCTGGCCAGCTGCCTCGGGACATGGATTACTTGAGCCAAAATGGCTACGGAGGAGGAGGAGGAGGAGGAGGAGGAGGACGAAGACGCGGAGGACGCGTGGCGGCCACTTGCAGCCCTCGAGCCTCAGCCTGCGGCCCTCGAGGAGGAGCCGAGGCCCCTTCGTACCCTGCGCCGGCGTCGGGCTCCAGCGGCCTCGGCCCGCTCGGAATCGGCCCCCGGGCCCTTCCATGGGGCCCACCCTCCCTCTGAGGGGCAACGATAGGGGAGG